GTGTAAACAATCTTAAGATAATCAAATTATGTTGCTTTCTTTCATCCAAATATAATGCCAAATGTTGGTAGTATTTAATTACGTGTTATGGCTCAATCGAGTCCACTAACTTATCTAACATTACAGATTTCTTAATGTTCAACAAAGACAAATATTTTTTAATTATTATTTTACAAACATCTAGTTTCGAAAACTTTATTGTGAAGAATAAATGTTTAGACGTAACGATTAGTTGGATTTAAAGAACAAAACTTATTTGAAAATATAGGCCTAACTTTACCATTCTATCAAGACACGAAAATTCTTACATAGGTTGTGTCAAATGAAAACTTTAGAAAAGTAAATTATTTTATTCCTATATACTTTAATCAGTAGCGCAATAACGTTGAATTGAAGAATTAAAAAAAAACCCTCAAAACTTGAATTTAATTACTGCATTATAACTAAGCATGTTGGAGAATTTCCAACAGAACTCTATTACAAACGCCATTTATTTCAAGTTAGATTAGTAATGGCTTCCGAATAGAATGTTTTCAACAATCTTCGGGAATACAACCAGGTCCGTTGAAATCCTCAGGATAGTCCTCATAACCTGGAATTTCAAATTCCATCACAAAAATGTTTGGATATTTTGAACAGACGTCTTCAAATCTATCAGGAGCAGAGGAGGTAACCTCATCTTCACAGATGAATGGCCGTAAATAATTCATGGACTGTTGTGCAGTACTAGAAAGAGGAATTCCCCAGAACTGGAATAGCGGAGCAAGGTTGTAATTGGTTGTTTCGGAGAATCTGGTGTACCACAAATCAATTTTATCTTGATCTGTTTTTGGTTTGGGTCCTGTATCTGTTTCGTATTGTCGAAAAACTTTCTTGTACGAATCCCACGTAAAACAACGTGCTAGTTGGCCGTAAATTCCCAAGCCCACGCCAGGTTTCTTCTTCCAAGTTTCGAAGTCAGCACCAGCAAGCAAGTATTTTTGGATACCAGCGAATTGTCTGGTTATCGAGTAGTTCTGCCATACGGGGATATTGCAAACAGCATCACCACCATACAGGGCGAAGACATTGCATGTCACCTCTGTTGATCCCTTAAATGTCCATTGCTGTCTCTGCATGTTATGTCCAAATTCATGGAAGAGGCCCCAGTTACCGTTGGACCTAAGAAATTCGGTGTTCAGCACGAAGACGTTCTTGGTAGGGTCGGCTATGTTCAGTTGAGAAACTACTGGATACCCTGAATGCAATAACCCTATTCTCGGTTGCCTATCGGGAACTAGCCATTGACGACGGTGAAGAGTGATGTCCGTTCCACGAAGATAATGATAAGCTCCTTATCACCTGGTCCCAAAACGTTAAAGGCTCTGTCGGGTGGTCAAAGTTTCGTATGGATGACGATGGTAAAGTTATAATCAAAAATTCTCCCACAAGATCTGTCCAAAGTCCTGGGGAGTGCTTTCGGTTTTTCCAATGTGAAGGTGCTTCTGGATCTTTGATGTCGAAATATGGAGCTTCTACAACAGACTCTAGCTCAACTTCTAGACTTTTCTTCGCTGGTGGACTTTCAAAGTATATCAACCCTCCGTAAGGACTTGAAATTGTTGTTTCTCCTGGAGATACTGGTCGTCCTACCATAATTGATGGCCATCTTTTCCAACCCTTAGTGACGTGTTTCAGATTGTCACTATGACATCCAATACGTATTTTCCAACCTTGTACGTCGGTTCCTTTCACGGTCATCTTCATTTCCTGCCCAGCAGGTAGGTAGTAGCCAGTTGGGTGGAAGTCCCTCAAAGTGGAATTCAAAGAAATCGTGGCCTTTGTTAGGACAGGTGGGGATTCAAAATCACCTGGAAAGTGTTCGATTCCCGGAGCTTTACGGCCATTCAATCTCAGTAATATATCATAAAGTATTAGAAGATCTTTGGCTGACTGTTCCTTTACAGGTTTCTGGGAAGTAGGAATTATTGTCTGTTTTATATATTCTTCACAGGTTTCAAAAAAAGTTTTGAAACTATCTTCTGAAACCAACAAAGATTTCGGCATAATAGATATCATTTTCACAATGCTGTTAGCCAGTTGTTGAAGATTTTCTTGACTTTCTTGAGCTTTCTTCATCCGTCTTCCAAGATGCGCATAGTATGCCGGATTATCTTCCACTTTCACTTCCCCTGTGTTTGAAAAATACTTTGTAGTAAAACACACACCCACGTTTCTCAACAATTTAAAATGTGGCATGGTTTCTATGCTGCCTCCAATAAGTTGCAAGTAACCCCAAGGTGTTTCTGCAATAACCACAGCTCCTCCAGACGTAACAAAGTCTTCGAGGTTTTGAAAAAACTCTTTATTTTCTGGTTTGCTAGAACCCTTAAGAACAGCAATCGTTTCGCCCACTTTTAGCTCATCAAACTTCGTTCCACCACGCACGCGCACAATGTTTACATTTTGAAGATCGGCACCTTTCGAAAGCCATTTAATTATATTTTGTCTCAGTTGTGAAAACCAATCTGGATTTTGTAAAAAAGCTTCTCCGTACGGATTTTGTGAGAATACAACCATCCGCCCGTTTCCGTGTTCAGCAGCAACCATGAACACTTGATCTGCGTAATTTCCAGCCAGTATAGGCTCTGCTTTCTCTCCCCAGACAACCATCTTTCCAGAATTTCCTTTTCCTTCTACGGAAGTAATACCCTGTAATAGCTCTTCCCGCCACTTTGCCATGGCTTTTATATAAAGTTCGAACAATGGGTGAAAAGTTCAGTTTGAAATTATCAGAACCACAGTAGAATTGCCGAGAGACCTAAAGATAAATAAATACGAATTTGTCACCACAACTTCGAAGCTTAAGTAATCGCAATATAATATTTAAAATCGTGAAACAATATGTGTTAATATACAATGACTTTATCATTCAAGATAATATACGTTTAATGTAACATTAGTAATTAAAATTTGAATGGGTACAAAGAGGTTTGTTTTGTTTTGTATTTCGTGCAAAGCTACACGAGGGCTAACTGCGTTAGCTGTCCCTAATTTAGCAGTAAAAGAATAGAGAGAAGGGATATAGTCGTCACCTCCGATCGCGAACTCTTGGACTACTTTTTTACCAACCATTGACCGTCACTTTATAACGCCCCATGGCTGAAAGGGCGAGCATGTTTGGTGTGACGGGGATGCGAACAGGCAGCCCGCAGATTGCGAGTCGATCGCCCTAACCACCTGAACATGACAAGCCGAAACAAAGATGACCTACCGACATAAACATTTTGATATCGGATTTAAGTTACTGAATGTTCATATTAACCATAACAAAGGATCGTTTGTTTTAGATATTGGGCTAATTCCAATGTAGAAATTTTGATACATGTTCGTGTCAAGTCGCCGGACACAGTGCCTTTGAATTTCTGTGCAATCAGACTGTTGAAATGAGCGGTGGGAAACCTTTGTCCTTACACGGAGCAATTGCGTGAGTTGGACATGATAGATTTTAGACGGAAACATTTGCAATATTAACTACGTCGCAGGGCTATGGTCAAGACACACTGTTGTCAGATAGAACCTGACCGGACGTAACAACGTGATGAGGCTTCATAATAATTTTAAATAACCCTAAATATTCTACAGATTAATGTACTGGTTGGTAGAACTCAATCTAAACAGCTATTTTATATCAACTCAGATGTCATTTCATTTTAAAATATTCTCGTTTTTATATAGAAAGACTTTCATGTTGTTGTTTTTCTATTAAAATAGGTTTTTGAGGGTCGAACTTGTCAATAGATAATATTTCACAGGTAGGAAAATTCAAAAGCTAGAAGTACTTACCTGTTCTCGGGTTTCAATACACGCGGTGGGCACAGCTCAGGTTGTCTATTGTGTAGCTTTGTGATTAAAACAAACAAATAAACTTACCTGTTCTCGGGTTTCAATACCCGCGGTGGGCACAGCTCAGGTTGTCTATTGTGTAGCTTTGTGATTAAAACAAACAAATAAACTTACCTGTATTTAGCTCGTGTTCTAAAAGTTATTGAGTTTCAACCTTTATATATAGTGTCGTCCAAACGTTCAATCGTAAGGTGATTTTGATTACTTATTGATTGATTAAAATATTCATTATATCACTATCGATAACACCATAGCAACGGGATATGCCGATAATATATTAGATGATATATCACGTGTACAGTAATACCTGATACAAAACAATTATGTATTTGTATTTAAAGATTCTTCCGTTGTTATCATCTGCTAGATAAAATAAAAGTATCGTAAATTATATAAATAAAACAACAGAGTTTAATCATTGGTATATAAGCATGGGTTAATAAAACGGCTTTTGATGTTGCTATCAGAAACGTGCATTATTTATTCCAGCCTCATTATGTCATTCAAGTGTTTAAAGTACTGCACAACTGATTAGATATTCCAAAAATTAGGTTATCATGTATAGAGGAGTTTATGTTTATTAAAACGCTACATACACATTCAAAACAGATACAAAACCTCACCGTTATCATTTTGTAGAACTGTTTCATCAGAAAATATATCACAGATACCACCTAACACGTATATGAAAACGACATCAAAACTTTCACGCGCATTCCAAAGATCGGTCAAAGTATATGCAGCCTAAATGTTTTCGATTATTTAATTTTCGTTATCTGTTGAAATCTAGAGATGGCGCCACCACACACACTCTTTTATACTTTCATAATATATACATATATATATATATGATTGCCGTTTGTCTTTTGTACAATAACAACAGATTATTTAGAACGGCTCTGAGTTTGTTTGTTTGTTTTTTCAAATACAAACTTTTAGCTCATAGCTCCATCATCTCTTGACCGATTTGAGATCTAATTACAGTTTTAGACTGAGGAGTTCAAATCCTTTCGACTGGTGTATTTGACAACGCCCGGGGTGTCATAGATTAATTTTCTCTGATCCTAAACGTCTAAGGATTATAATACATAAAATAATAAGTTGGATGTCCTCGCCGTTAATCGTATTCAGCTGGGATGTTAATAATATTTTAACCAGCTTTAGAGACTTAGGTTACTTCTTAATCCTCATATTAAGCCAATAAACCTAGCTAATCATCACAAATTAAATATTAATTAAACAAGATATTTAAACATTACAATATCTATAAAGGTTAATGAAACTAACAATAATAAAAAAACTGAATATATTAATGACACTCATAACAGTGATGAATTCACAGATAATCTGTTTTCATTCCCAAATGATAGTGTTGTTCATTTCATGTATTGTCAACAGTTGAACACGTCATTCGATTCACTAGTACGTATATTACAGTATACACAGCAGTTACATGCTCAGTATCGTTCATGTGTAAGTCTGTTACATTATTCAAATATTCAAACACTGAGTTAGGTTTACGAGTAGGGATATTACGGTACTCTATAGTTGGATACTCAATGTGGTTCATGAGTGGGTCTATTACAGTACTCAACAGTTAATAAGTGTTTTAAGTATTCAATAGTGAAACATTCAGTATGGAGTCTTATTAAACTCTTATCGTTTGGACTAGTCAACCTAACGAGAAATAATCAGCTCTTTTTAATTAATATCATTTATGTAACAACAATTTTAAAACTGTAGAATCAGTTGACGTATTTCTTAGATGCACACAAAAATTTTATATAAACGAATTAAAGTACCGAGGACAAAAAATGGTGGTGGACATAATTAAGGTAATTACTACTCAGGAATATTGGGCAACTATATTTGATCAATCATTGATTTTGTGTGTGTGTGTGATCTCTTAATATTTTAAACTTTCATAATATTTAGTACACTCTACTAAACAAAAAGTGTGAAATTGATATTATGTGAACTTTTTATTCTAAAGTTTTAGTAAAGCCTGCTGTATTAATGATTCTCAACGCAAGAGGGAAACATATAGCTACGCATGCGCACACGATTAAGCAGGGCGATGTCTGTTCAGGACAAAACACGTGTTTTACGTGGGTATCAAATTGAGAATTTGCAATTATGGTTATCGCTCTTTAACCAAGAGATTGTCTGAATATTCTACGTAATCAAAGGCAGATATCAAAACATAATATTTTATACAGATGAAGTAATATTATACGTCAAAAACCTGGTTTCGATATCCGCGGTGGGTAGAGCACAGCTAACCCTATATGTAGCTTTGTGCTTAACAACCAACAAACGAATAAGACGTATAAGTTAAAATTATCAAATATTATTAGCAACATATTTATCAAGTAAAAAAGAGAACATATTTAAGCAAAAATAAATTGGATTAATTCTCGAGACGGATGGTAGTGGTTAGCGTACTTGACTCTGATCAAAGGTCCAAAGTTCGATACATGACATGTTGCTGAACAAGCTCAGCACTTTCAATTGTGGAGGCATCATAACCATGATAGTCAATCCCCCCTCTTCGGTTTAAGACTAGCTAACTGGTTTTCCTGACTCTAGCCAGTGCCCCCTAGCGGCTGAGAGACAAGTCAGAAGAATGAGCAATGCTCAAAATGCGTCTTTTTTTTTATCATAACTAATTACTAAAGTAGAGTGCACTTACACGACAGACTCGTTATATTTATGTCGATAATTCAACAGCTTCTATATCATAAGTTTTATTACAATCTTCACTAGATTTCATTCGCATAAATGAACAAGTTTACTCTTTCCATGCCAGATCACTTCTTATAATATTTAGTTGTTTAGCGGTAAAATTTGGGATTCTGCCCCTGTGATGTACACAGCGCATAGAGAAGATTGTACAGACTCACGCTTTTAAAGAAACAAATATAATAATTAACATTCAGTTTCGTAGCGCCATCTGTTTCGAGAATTAACAAAATAAAGTTAAAATTTCATATAAAATGAAATATCATTGATATTATTTTTGTTTGAAATTTAGCTAGACATTGAACTATCTGTGAGGTGCCCAACATGGGTATCGAAAACCGGTTACTTGCGTTATAAGTCCGGGACATGCCGTTGTGTCACTAGGAGGCACAACAGAAGATCAGGAAGAAAGGTTTCAGAATACGTTATTTACATTTTACAGAAACATTCATTTCGTCAGTCTCAGGCGTCAATTTAATATTTTTACATTTACACTCACAGATCGTGTCATAGTAATGGTTTGTTTGTTTGTTTGTTTTTAATTATGCACAAAGCTACACAAGGGCTATCTGTGCTCTGC